CGTCACGGCTTTGCAGGGTGCGTGCGCTCCGTGCGCGCGGGCGGGGAGCGGTCAGCGGGTGCGGGGTCCGGGAGTGACTTTTTGTCAGCCCGGTGCGTGCTCGCCCCTCGGCCCGGGACGTTGGGACAGCCTCTCGGTTCTCCCGCTGCCTTTTGTTACTCGGGTGACGTCAGAGCTGAACGAAGAGCTCCGTCCCGTAGCGGCTTCCCTGGAGTGACTTCTTTGCCATCGCAGTCACGTTGCAAATCTGCGTTATCGCAGTACCTTCTGGTTTTGGGCGGCGTTCCTTAAAATTGGTATTTTTGAGTCCATCGTGTTTTTGTCAAGTTCAGTTCTTATGTAAAGCTTAAAAAGTGCTTGTATCTTGGTTTTTACCTTGAAATGCATCACACTGCTGTTTTTGTAAATTATACTATTAATATGTATTTTGGTAGCGCCTGCAAAGAAATTTTAGGTCTGAAATGCTACTTTTTAATTCAAGGATGTTGATCCTTGTATATATTTGTGTGAATGAGACTGCTGAGTACGATTCCTACGTTAATTTTTAGTGAGTATTGAACATCAGATAAAGGAAAATGACATTGGATGCTTTATTATAAAGCTCAGAATTGTGCATTTAAGTCGTTTTATTTCGACTCAGTTGCTAAGAGTCTAGATACGGTTGTCTGTTAGTTGAGAAGCATGTGTAAGAGATTTGTTAGCAGATAGGCTAATCTGAATGAGAAATGGCATTTAAGCCTATGAAACTTGGGGGCAAAAGGATAATATCTGAATTCTGGAACGTCTTTTATTCTTAACGTATAGTAACTGTCTGAAATTACTGCAGACTCTAAGTACTTTCTGACTCGTTAGAATAACGGTTAAGAGCAGTCCTACTTTTTTAGGTGCATTACGTTAATACTCTAGCCATGTTTAAGAAAAAATACACAAAATAATAAAAGTGAAAAAGAAGATGCTACCCTATATGTGGTTTCAGTTAAGTACTGATACTACTAGAGAGCAGAGACAGGTTTTTGCCACCTTCTCTTCCTTGCACGACGAAGCAAGTAACGGCAATTAAATGTTCAGCTTTGCTAACTGTTAACACCGATCTGGGTGATAGACTGTGGTGCTGTTAACACGCGTTCACTTGTCTGTGCACAGACAGCTGGAGGCAGCAGCAGTGGGTTCTGCAAGTCTGGGAGCATCTGCAGGCAGCAGTGGTGGGAACGTTAAACCTCAGTGGCCCCTTGGGCTCAGAAGCTCTGGTCAGTGGGACAGAAATGCCATTGCAGCTGGGTGTCATTCTGTGAAGGCGCAAGGCAGCATGTCAGGAAAGAGTTAATCTGTGCGGGTTTGGTTTTACGAGAACGTTTAGCTTCTGGCAAGGCAAAACACGGTTAGACTACGCTTAAACTGGTAGTCGGTTTGTGTTGGATTTATGGGAAACATCTATCACCTGTCTTGGTTTCTCGGAAACAAGTGACCAGGATCAGTTAGCCTCGCAGAGAAGAGCAACAGGATGCAAGCTGTGCTTGCCTCCGTAAAAGCTGTGCTGCTAATGTAATGTCCTCTTTGTGATGTGTGGAATAAACAAACTTAGGGGAATGATGCTTTAAAATGTCAGATTTTACAAACGACGCATGTTTTTTGTGTTGGTCACTTCCTAGTTGTTAAAGATATTTCATGACGTTTCTGGAGAACCTTTCAACTCTGTATTCTGCAACAAGTCTTTGATGCTTATTATCGGGTCCCCTCTGCCTGGAGAAGCACTGATAAGCTGCCTGCGACGCTCTGTCCAGGCTTTGTGAAGATAAAAAAGTGCATCCCCAAAAAAAAGAAAACACTACTTGCATGTTCTTGCTTAGCTTTTCAGAGACACGTGGGCGGCCTTAAAAAAATTGTAAATTAACTTGTGTTCTGAGGTCAAACGGACTGTAAAGATAAAGGTGACTTTTTAAAACATCACTTGCTGTAGTTTGTCATTTTCAGGAAACTGTCCAGGTATAAATTATGATTTTTCGTCCAGTACAGATAGGAGTAAGTTGTCCTTGGCCTGAAGATTTAGAGTTGAGGAAAATGCATGCACTGTGCTGGGAACTTTAAGCGGTTGTTTTGGGATAGGCTGTCTCCATAATGCACCTCTGCATATACCCTTATGGAACAAAAACTTTTTAACTTCAAGGGTGAAAGACAGTAATTTGGAAGCGATTTCTGTTGCTTCCTGTGCCACAATAAAAAACTAGCGGACTGTAGAATGCCTGTATAATGTATAAAACATAAGAATGCTCGGAAGTGACTGGGCTATTGGAATTGCAGAGTAGAGAGCATTTACCAAATTATAATCAATTATCACCAATTGTCCTTGTGTATAAAGTGGTCAGGAAATCCAAGATCTGTGGATTCTGCACACTTGAAGTTTTGTTCTGTACTGGCATGTAAGCATGTGCTTTGGTTTTGGTTTTCAGCAGGCTCTTTTTCATGATACATGCAGAAGGAAAGCATGAAAGGAGAATAGAGATTGCACACACAGACTTGAATCTTATGTTTGCTGTCCTGAAAACTTGGTGGTCTTGTGAGTGGTGGAGAGGAACGAACTTCGTCTGAACTGGTCTACGCAGCGGCCTCAAGCACTGAAATGTGCAGTAGCTGAAGTGAAGCTTTAGTATGTGGAATAGGTTGAGAGTGTAAACTATGAAATTGCTTGCATGCATTTTGTAAAACTGGGAAGAGCGCTGTATCTTGGGTTTACTTATTATTAGACTGTCGGGCTATTGGAAGCATCCCTGGCAGTGTTCAAGGCCAGGCTGGATGGGGCTTGGAACTAGATGGTCTTTAAGGTCCCTTCCAACCTAAACCGTTCTGTTGTGTTGAATAACAATGAATTACTGTTCTATTTGATAATAAAATTTAAGTCTTCAGTACTTAGAGCCATTGTAGGTTGGGCCACCACGAATTGCATTGTATTGCTGCAGCCTCTAACAGGCACAGTCTGCGGACCCTAAATGTTACAGATTTTGGGTCGATTTTCAAGGGATGTTATTTCCCTGCTTTCAAATTGCACAAAGTTATCAGGTTTTGAATGAACTTAAAATTCTGTCTTCATTAGTGGTTTGCTTTGTTTTCCCCTGTTGTTGTGGAAATAAATGAGCTTCCCATTTCAGTTTTGTTTTCATTATCTTCAAAAATATGTTTCAGTGCTTGATTAGGTCCAGTATTGGTGCTCCCAGATGTTAGTGTTCTATGAGACATTCCAAAACACTCGTGTGGCACGGAAGGCAATTATTTAATACAGTAGCTTGGACTGCAGCCTTGGATACTTTTTAGGAAAAACCAGTAATAAATAATAGTAGAAAGAAAACTTTTCTTGTTCTTATTTCCCTAGGAAGATGTTGATATTCCCAGTAGGAGAGTTCTGATTACTGGTGCCACGGGACTTCTTGGCAGAGCTGTGTTTAAAGAATTCAATGAAAATAATTGGAACGCAGTTGGCTGTGGATACAGGAGAGCTCAGCCCAGATTTGAGCAGATTAATCTTTTGGACTCTATCGCAGTTCATGACATTATCCATGATTTTCAGGTAAGTTTCTGGAGTACGAAGGGGATGGATAGGGTACTTTATACGTCTAGTAATCGATTGATAGTGCCGTTCTGGTAACGAGTTCATGTGGCTTTAGTGGGGCTTATGCTTTGGCGGAGCTGTGGAAACTTTATGGCTGCCTTGTACAGTTCTGAGCGTTGCTGTCATCACCTTAGACAGACTGCAGGTAACCGGTGGGCGTGGCAGCACACTTGCACTGGTCGTTGAAAGAAAAAGATGAATGCGAGTTACTGCCCCAGCGATAGGAGGCAGTCCCTTTGAAGTTGACGAACACTTGAACACAAGAGCAGTAACTGTATGTCTAGTGTGCAGTGCAGTAAGAAGTTCACTGGTTTTTGAGTCTAACTTGCAAGGGCAGTATATGAAACCTGAAATACATTATGCAGGGTGCGGTTCTAGAAAATGGCTTTAAACAACTTGTTAATAGTCTGCATATGGCAAATGAGCCATGTGTTAATGGCTTATCTGAACAATTTTAGGTACCATTATGTGTGTGTGTGAGATACGTATTATATTTTATATAAATATTTATATAATATTATATATTACATACACAGAATTAAAAAGAAAAAATCCAGCAATGTCGATCTTGCTGCAAAATCAAAGCTACTGAAGAGCTTACTGGCTAAATTAATGATCAGGGGTTTTGTTGTCTTGAAGCAGCATGGTTCTGTTTTACTTCCGAAGGAAAACATGCTCCTTGGAATGCCACGATTAAAAATAACACTACTACTTCTGCTACTTCTCACAACTTAGTGAACTGTCTTTTGCCTGAGGGAGTTCGCTAGAGTTAGGGTGCAACTGCCATCTCTTGACAGTATTTGTTGGTTAGAATCAGTCTTTCATTTCCAGCCTCACGTCATAGTGCATTGTGCTGCTGAGAGAAGGCCAGATGTTGTAGAAAGTCAACCAGATGCTGCTTCTCAGCTCAATGTGGCTGCTTCGGCGAACTTGGCAAAAGAGGCAGGTAAGGAGACCATCGAATGGATTTGGATTTGGTTTCTTGTTAATATACTGCATTTATTTATAAGGGACATAAATACGAATAAGTTACTCAAAAGTGCCAGATGTCATTTCTGCAATCAGGGTGCTGTCAGTCCATTGTCTGTAAAGGTAGAACCCTTGTCTGTGTGAAGGATCGGTGACCAGACAGCAGCAGGAACGAGTGGGGCTAGAAGATGAGATCCTTGGAGATTTGTTTAAAGGTTTATGAGGATTTCAAACAAGGCATGAATGAAAATAGACTACGTATAAACATTTTCTTCCCAGCTGGAGTTGGAGCGTTTCTGATCTACATTAGTACAGACTATGTATTTGATGGAACAAGCCCTCCTTATAAAGAGACTGATGCACCAAATCCGCTGAATTTATATGGTAAAACCAAACTGGAGGGTGAAAAAGCAGTCCTGGAAAATAATGAAGGTAAGAATATACTCACACATTTTTAATAGAGGCTTTCTGTTTTTAGTTAGTTGTATATTAGCTTAATAGGCTCATGAGTCAGTGGTAAAGTTGCAGAACCATGGAAATGAGATTTAGAAAACAATGTGATTAGGAGCCAGTCTCCTTGCTCATAAACGATTCCTGTTGCTTATAGGTTGACTAAAGCTTTATTTCTTTCTTGTTCTGGTTTCCATTTGTGTTACTAGTCTCTGCTGATGGACATGCACAAGCCTTTGTCTGCTGTCCTTCAGCTATTCCTAAGGAAAGATAAAGTACATCATCAGGATATTGTAATGGCACAAGCTTTACCACACTTAATGTTTGGCTGCTGTTCCTTAGGGGGATGCCTTGCAATTGTTCTAAATGCGTGTTTACTTCAAGGCAAAACCAGACTTGTGGTTCAATAATAATGCAGATAAAACCAACACAGGCTTTTGTTACTCTCGTGGTTTTCTTGCTCATCTCCTGTTTTGCTCTCACTACATAAGCCATCAGGCCATCCGTTTTATTTTTACCCACCTAGCTTACCACACACGTCAGAGTCCTGCTTGTAACATGTTCTAAAGGGTTAATAACATATTTCTGGTTTTAAGCAACTATTTTTTTTTGTTATTTAAATATTTTCTTAATGAAAACTGGCATTCAAAATATACAAATATAATTGTAAAATTTCTGCTTAATAAGGGAAAAAAGCTTGGGGCTGAACATGTTCCCTTGCGTTTAAAACTTAGTTCTTATATAAAAGAGAGGTTTGGTTGCTTCTAGTTAGTATGCACTCAGTTTCCATTCACAGGTTATAAGGAAAGAAGGACTTCCATTTTCTCAAAGAATTTGAAGAAAATAATCTCAATGCACTTGCAGAAGAGGCTTCTCGTGTGTCACTATGACACTCACACTGTGATTCTGTTCTGCCTCACCGGAGAATTGAGTAATTGATAAATTAGTGTGATGGTCGTTCAGTAAGTAAATCTATACTATATTTGAAAATGATAGGCCTTAATATAGGTTTGCCATTACTAGTAAGAAATTTCTAAAAAATACTTCGATAAGAAAAGCCCAAGTAAAAATCAGCTTAAATAAAAAGTTGTTCACTCCACCTCTTACTTAAATATCATCTCTGAATTTGACTGTGATGCTGTTTGCTCCCTCTTCTAGATTGGTAATGAAGATAAGACTGCAACAAATTCAAGTACGTGTGGGTATCTTGCTAGATCCTTCCCCCAGTCAACACTTCAGTTTTGTTTTATAACGTTTTTGAGCGTGATCTGTCAGGCAGTAGTGGGCTGCAGCAGTGGCGGTATTAGCAGAAGGCGTTTTGAGGTAGTGGTGAGGAAGATGCTTGAAAATGTCGATTCTGTTGTTTCACACAAGTATAAAGATTATTAGTCTTCCAACCACTAATTTGCTAATATTGTATAGGTAGAATTCAGTCTATCCAAATGTCTGTAGCTGTGTGAAGAACTGTCCATTTCTGTATAATGCAAGAATCTCCACTAATAATTTGTGGGGTTTTGCATACTTTTTTTTTTTAAAAAAAAAAAAAAAAATCTTGTTTTACTTTGGTCAGGAGAGGATACAAGTTAGGTGTAGTACTCATGCTTATACAACTAAAAAGTTTCAATAGGTCTTCAGAACCATTGGTAACGAAGCTGATGCTGTCCAAGCCTCAGATAGCTGAGATCAAAAGGAAGGCAGTCTTTTTCTCAAATAACGAATACTTGTAATGGTATTAAAAAAAGAGATATCTCAATTAGTATTTAAAGAGAGGAAGAACATGTTTGCTGAGTGACCAAATTACTGTTTTTAGAGCAGCAGGAAATCAGTGTCGTGTCAGGTTTTTTATTGTATTTGTTTTTCTTGTGTGAGTACTTCTTTAGGTTTGCTTTTCTGTGAGAATAATTTACGTGTTGGCTTGTTCTCTTTTGTGTTTCTAATAGCTATAGCATTTTCCTGCAAATCTTTAAGACTTTCAGTGATTTGGTGACTTCCACTTCTACTTTCAGGGCTGATACTAATTTTTTTTCTTTAAGCAAATGTATCTGTATTGCTTTTAATGAATTTGTCATAGCCTTCTCAGAATTCCCCTCAAAGAGGCTTTTTGAGTCCTCATGACTGAGACTGGTACGATGAATTCCATCACAAAACATTCTTCTCTTTGCACTGGTTTACTCTTAGTTTAACTTCTCAAATCTCTATCTTGAAATCTAATGCTGTTTACTGCTGTGTTCTGTGAACCTATTCCTTATGCCGAGCTTTTTATACATTCCAAGGTTCAAGTCTTTTTTCTGGTGATAATCTCCTCCTTTATGCAGGAGGCTTCTGCATGCTGGGTAAGAACTCTGTCTCTAATCGATGCCTGAATATGGTGATCAGGGATTGGTGGGAATTTTTCTTCTTGCTCTTACCCAGGGAGGACGGGGAGGGCTGGAGTAACTGCATAGCGCAGCTGGGTTTTTTGTGGGTTTTGGTTCGGTTGTTTTAATTTTTGTTCTAGCCCAAACAGGCCTTCTTTTTTCTCTTGCAGTGTTAATGAAAGCTTGTTAACTTTCTGGATATCTGTTGCGTAAATGAAAATAAGTTCATATAAACTTACTGTTTATAAATTTCTAATTTATGTAAGCTAAAATTGTATTGTGAGGGCAAAGATGTTAATTGCATTTTGTTTGTGACTTGTAGATGCTTAATATCGCCAACATACTTCTTAACACTTCCAAAACACTTTTCAGGTTGTGCTTCAGCATTCGTCCTTATTCATAACCACGTGAATGCTTTTCAAATATTTTTTCTTCTAGGTGCTGCAGTCCTTAGGATTCCTGTCTTGTATGGAGAGGTAGAAAGACTGGAGGAAAGTGCTGTGACTATTATGTTTGATAAAGTGCAGTTCAGTAATAAATCTGCCAACATGGACCACTGGCAACAAAGATTTCCTACTAATGTCAAGGATGTAGCAACTGTTTGCAGACAACTAGCAGAGAAGAGAATGCTGGTAAGAATTTAAAGAAACAAGCCTCTTCAAGGTAAAAACAGTTCGAGTTCCTGACTTTGTTTCTGAACGACTGAGAACCGCACATAACCTGCGTTACACTTTGCATTTCGGGAGCACTGGGAGGGAGGAAAGAACGAGCTGTAATGCTGCAGCGTGGAATATTCTGATATTTGAAGCAAGTGTGAGTGAAGTGATGGGAGGATCCTTCTGAAAACTGTCACGTGTCCTCTAGCATACAGGAGAGAAATGCAAATACCTAATTTATTTTAATACGTCTTTCTCAAATTGCCATTTTGGACTAAAAAAAAACCCCATAGTCGCTGAATGTAGTTCTCAAAGATGCCCTTGTTTATTGTATTAAGAACACTGAAGTGGCAAAAACAAGACACTGGCCTTAAATACTTTGTTGTGTTTATTCACCGCAGCATCTTCAGGTTACAGTCTTTGGAAACAAAGGTAACCAACCAAACCACCACCTTTATTTTTCATAGATATAACTTGGAAAACAATGGACCGTGCACATCTGGTGGGTGTAGTGCAAGCAGTTTGTTTGATAGGACTTGCACATGGTTTGCAGTTTGTGTCTGGTGCTTTTGCGTTTGTTTTTAAGTGAATAGTACAGAATAGCGGAGTTCCTCCTCTCCAGCTGTTCGACCTTGGTTGGTTGGCTCACTCTTTTCCCTCCTGTTAATTCTACAGAATATGAGCTGTTGGTGAAAGGTCAGCTCAGATACACGTAGCACCAGTTCTCAGTTTTAATACCTGGTCAGGCGTGCCCTGAGAACGCCCGAGCCGTTCAGAACATCGGTGAGGTGCTGTAACCTGCCTTTGGGGGTAGGATCTTGCTGGGAGATTATTCTGCACAGTTTTTGCACGGGAATTAGTCCGAGGGCTAGCCAGCTGCTTTTTTCTTCACCTGTGTTTCCTGTTCCTTCTGAAGGACCCATCAGTAAAAGGAACATTTCACTGGTCTGGCAATGAACAGATGACTAAGTACGAAATGGCATGTGCCATTGCAGACGCTTTCAACCTTCCCAGCAGCCACCTGAGACCAGTAAGTGATGCGGTGTTCGACCTGTAGAAAGACGGATGTGCTCTGTTGTTTCGAGTAGTAGGCCTCACGCTAGGTACACAAATAGACTTGCTCTTCGGGATGATGTGGGTGAGTGTGTCTGGCCCGGCAGGTGTATTGGTGAGGATGCTGTCTGGGATCTAACTGAGGAGCACAACAGCTGCTTTGACCTGCTGAATTACGAAAATGACCAGTCAGTAACCAGTTTCACAGCCTGTAGTGTAGTGGTATTTCTGCAGCACAGTTCTCCTTAGTCACGGGTAAATCTATTTCTGTGCTTGAAAAAGCTTACAGGATGACAGAACAATAACTTGAAGGTAGGAACTTGTAAGAACTTCTTAATGTCCAGATTCACTTTTGAATATGTGCGCTTCAGAGCTTCACACCGTTTTGCTTTACTCAGAACAACTGTCCTGCAGTTTTGTTGACACTTGAAAGTAAGACTGCTCTTAAAGACATACTGATAATGTTGTGAGAATACAACAAGTAAATAAGATTTTATTTATATCCAAAATAAATTTGAAGGAGTCTGAATTAGTGAAGGGTGGAACTGAAATGTGGCTTGGAAGATGGAGAGAAAAAGAATGGAAAACACCAAGTTAGTCTGAATTTTTCCTGCCCAAATTATATCTCTTCGAGTATATTGATCAAGACATGGCTTGGTCAACATTTTAGAGCATTTTTTACCTTGTGGTTGCTGTCATAGGGTGAAAAGAGGAATAAAACATAGGAAAGCATAAATGGTGAGCAGTGACCAAGAAAAATTTAACTTAAGACACTTCACGTCACTCTGTCTGACATCTCTTGTGTTGAAATGAAGTTAACCATAAAACAAGCAAACAAACAAGAAACCCCAAACAAACAAACAAAACCAACAAAAAAGACAAAGCACAAAGTAGTTGGAAGGGAGAAGGGAAATGTACCTATATAGAAAGCTACGAAGGAGAACTTCTAAATGAGCATATATAACAGTAAATATTTTCCTGTCATTTCTGATTACTTGTTGGTGTGTTGGATTTCTTCTGTTTATTTTTTAGATTACTGATTGTCCAGTTGTGGGTGCCCTTCGTCCGAGGAATGCTCAGCTGGACTGCTCCAAGTTGGAGATGCTGGGGATAGGTCAGAGAACGCCGTTTCGAGCTGGGATCAAAGAATCGCTTTGGCCTTTCCTTGTGGACAAGAGATGGAGGCAGACAGTCTTCCATTAGTTTGTATCTTTTTTAGTAAAAGTATGGTATGTGGCACTTTTTTAAAAGAAAAAATAGTTTTGTATGAGTGTTCTTAAATTGTGACATCTATGAGTTTTCATTTAATCAGGTAAACATATGGTCTTGCACTAGTGAAATTGTTGGCCTAAAAAAGTTCAGTGACAGAAACTGAGCCTATTTGATGTCATGGATCTTTCCTTCCATTCGTACCAGTCTAAGTTAATGTCTGTTCCCAGCAGATTATGGTTCTTAGTAATCAGTACCATTTGATGCTAAGAATGCCTCAGATCACCTGCAGACTTACTTTTGGCTGAAATATGTTGTTGATGCTTAAGGTCTGTGCCATTGTTCTATTATACCATTTCTCTTCATTAAACGACATGGTCGGTTACTTTATCACCAAAAAATCTGAGTATTTTGTTTTTAACTTCTGAAGGTGGCATTCTTATGAAGTTAAACTGAAGCAGGAGTCGTTAAATGTTTGTTTTGCTTGAGCTCTGATCAAAATGTTTTTTAAAAAAGTGAAACTTTATTTTTGCAATTAGCAAGTGTAGTTTTTATGCTTGAAATATTTTCAGAATGTTCTGTAACTTGAATGCCTGCAGCTTCACATTTGTACAGTAAGTCGTATGCATTTGTTTTGGTAGTGACATAAAAGCTAGGAGAGGGTTGGGAGGGTGGGGAATAAATAGTTTTGACCTTTTTTTGTGGGGTGGGAGGGGGATTGGAGTTGGAGGATAATTTTTTTTGAGCGGGGGATTGTTTGGTTTTTGTATAAAAGCATGAAATACTATCTTTGTGTTTTTAGGGGGGCAATATTTGGGATTGAAATCAGTGGAAGATGTTTGTTAGTCAATACATGTGAGAAAGAGGAAAGGTATTTCAAGAATTTATAGCACTGTGGCTTCTTTTGCACAGACTGTCAGATCTTGCACTGATGTAGCTTGTTATGGAACAGCAAAGCACATGTTAAGGTTTGCGTCATAATAATGTAAACACAATAGTCTAATATAAGCCAGTCTTTAAACTGCTTGAGTCTAGTTCCTGAAGTTGGACTCAGTAGCCAGGTAAACTGGAGGAAGAACACAGTTTGTAACAGTTGGCTTTCTTCTGACGTCATAGAATCAACAATATAAATGTCCTGAGATTGCCAGCGGATTATTAGTAAAACGAGGAAAAGCTGCATTTGAATGATCATTTATTTTTCTGAGGCTGAAATGCAAGGGGGAAGGGAAGATGACCAGCTTTTAATTTAAAAAAAAAAAAAAGGGGGGGAGAGGGGGAACGACACAAAAATAGACCAACTGAAGATCTTCTAAAGGTCAGCTTTACATCCGGTCGTGTAATTTCCAACTGGCTTATGCGAAGAGTTCATAATCCTGCTTTGTTTTTAGTCTGAAGTCCTGATATACACATGGTAACCTATCTCCAAAATGACAATAAATCTATATTGCCAGCATGAGAAACAGTTGTTGATTCTTTCTTTACCTTCAGGATTTGTTTATCTGAATCATAAATACTTGCAGTTCTTCTTGAAATCTGTGTGCCCTTTCAGTGAATTTCCCCCAGCCCCCTCCTTATTTAATGAACTGTTTTCCAGAGTCAGATTTGGTTGGATCAGTGTTTCTCTGTCAATGTGCCGCTGCCTTGGGGATGTGATAAATGTACACACAAAAAAAAGGCACAGAAGGTTTTGAGAATATGAGTCTGAAACATCCTGGGCCTCAGTACTTGAACAGGAAGATTCTGAGAACATCCCCTCCACTTGCAGGCAGCGAAGTTTTTATTCAATTTGACACCGTATTTTTTACAAATCACAGTAAATTTAAAATGAATATGAAAACTTGGAGATGAGGATAAAAGCCACAAAAAAGAAATTTAAGGAACACTGAGGTAAACAGTAGACTTGCTATTTCATTGTGTGCTTTGTTGGTTTTTTTTCCCGCCTTTGGCATACATAATCAGAAGTGACAATGTTTTATTAAAATCAACTAGCTAAATAATTCTCTAAGTGGTTCTCTTTTTTTAAATGTGGGAAAGTACATTAATATACATCAGTATTTGGAAGGCAGGATATGCCATTCTGGATTTACTGCTGATTTTTTGTTAAACTGTTCTCAAATTGCTTATTGCTAGACCCACAAGAAAAGATGTGGATGTTACAATGCTGACTAGGGCAGTAGCCCCCCCTGCCCCCCCCCCCCCCCCTTTTTTTTTTTTTTAATTGAAAGGGGCTTGGTGGTGGTTTTTTGTTTGTTTGTTTTCCCCAAGAGGATGCAAAACTCTCTTCCACCTACCGAAAGCGCTCTATCTCTCCATTCCCTTCAGCTGGTGTAAGCCACTGCATCCATTACTGTAAGTGGAGCCGTTTGAGCAGGAAGGAAGAAGGATGACGTCTCTCCCAGACGTAACGCTCCTGACAGGAATGAGCTGGGCACTGTGCTGGGAGGGGAGAATTGCCATTGTGAATTTTTCTCACACTGAGCGAGTGAGCGAGTCCTGGTCTTGGTGCTCCAAGTGTCTAACTGGCCCTTCCGCCTGCCCTGCTTTGGTCAGCAGCCACTGGTCCGTTAAGGCTGCTGCACCTACTGCGGGTGGCGGGGGGCAGACAAACACCGGCTTCACTTGCCTTGCGGGGCTCATGGCTGCTTTTGAAACTGGAAAACAAATGTGCTACAGGAGCGGAGTTTTCAACTTGTATCTTGAAAATATGTTTGTAGTTTTCAAGGGAAATTGGACGTCAGTTAATCACCGTTGGGTTGGGTTGGGGTTTTTTTGAGCACCAAAACATAGGAGTTAACTGTCCAAGTTTCTGAGTGGTTTTGATTCTTAAATACAGGGTGGGTCAACCTTGCCCACTCTTAAATTAGATTAATCCTTACATTTTGTCCTCGGGTACATGGAATTTCCCAGGTAAAAAAAGAAAAACATGTATGGAGGGATTTTTTTCTTCAGTTCTTCTACATTTGTAGAATAATTTTTGTGTTTAGTAAAATCTACAGCTGTTCAAACAGGAAGGGGTAGTTTGGGGAACTCGCTTCCTAAGCAGCATTCCAGACAAGATTTCTATATAAGCTGTTGGCAACACGATTTCATTTATGTATGTGTTGCACTTTGTGTATGTTGTTACCCAACCCAATACTTAATTTTTCTACTCAAAAAGGAGGAGAATATATTCATTTGAAAAAATAAGGGTCTGGAGTTACAGTAAAGTGTTGTAGCTCTGGAATACGTTTTAAAGGATGAAAGTATGACTGGAAGATACAAAGATGACGAGATATATCAAAAAAATATGATTCTCAGTTGCACGCTTGAATAGGTGACCAAAGATACAGAAAAATCAAATGTTAAGGCGGTATGAGTTTTCCCGCCTCCTATTGCGTCCCTTCCACAAAAGGCTGAGATATGTTCGTTGAAAACTATATTCCCAGCTAGACTGCAGTCAGGGGTCTTGTTACTAGTGCTTTTAAAGAATCTTAGGTGCAGTTTTGACGATGCGAAATTTATTTTGAAGTGTAAGGAAGATGCACCTAAAAGGTTTTGAAGTCAGTCACACTGACTGTAACGGGCTTCAATGGGTAGCTCCTTCCATTTGTTAACTTTTACAACATGGCTCAAAAGTATAAGCTTGATAGAATCCTTTTAACCAGGAGTTTTGGGGTACTTCTGCCTAAATTCAGGCAAAGTGATCGTGAACATCAAGCTGTCATTAAATATGTGAGAAGTCCCAAGCTGAGATGTTCAATCCTTCTGTATAAATGTGTGTTAAGATGCGGATTCTGTTCAGATACCTATACTTTATTTCAGTATGTTACTGATAGAATTTTGCCATCTATATTTATTTAGCAATGTATTTCCTGTTTCGCTCCATATGTAGTCTATAAAAAATAAATACCAAACTCCATCCAGCTATCATTTCTTTATTTTAGTACCATAATCTGAAGGCCGTGACGGATCACAAAGGCTAAAGACAAGTATGTTCTTAAATGTCATGTCTGTTTGCCACAGTTTTCCTGCCAAGAAAAATTGTTCTTAATGCCTAAAAGGTGAAAATCGTAGCTTTTATGTGTGATAAGTTACAAAATCAGTAAGTGTATCATCTTTGACATAAATATTTAAACCAAACTACAGAAACAACAGTTCCTCTTACCTTTTTTGAACCAAGTCAAGCATAAGGAATCGTTATTCCAAGGGTTCCAGGAGGAAATGAAACATTAGTTAACTCCCCCATTTCTGTGAAGAAAAGAATACTGTTCAGTTACACCTCGTCAGAGGGATCTGCATCCCCCCACCATAAAGCATAGTAGAAGTTTCCCTGGAGACTGTCGTCTCCAAGACCTTCATTACTAGACAGACACCTTTCATGGCGTTTCCCTCCTTTGGTTAAAGACAGCTAAGAGAGCACCACGGATGCTGCAAGAACTAGGACTGTAATTTTCCAGTCGCTCTTAAGCGATGTTGCTGTTGAAAGAATTGGTCATACTCTTCTTCCCTTTTCTTCTCAGGCTTTGTGTTTCTGGCTCCATGGCTCTGTAGGTATTTATGATGGTCAACAAGAGCCCAGGAACTGTTTGGGGTCAAAATCTCTGTCATTGCATGAGACACGATGGCTGTGTGCAGAGGAAAGAATGGCTCTTTTTAAAGAAGCAGTGCCAATTTCCACCAGCTTAGTGATTGTGAAAGCGTGGCAATATGAAGTCAGTCTTGCTTGAATCCTCATTCTAGGGTTATTTGATGTTTATATTCATTTATTCATTGCTCTCTGTTAGCTAAGGGGATAAAGAAAGAAAAGTCACTGGTTTTAAAGTCTCGTTTTCTGTTTAGACTGCAAAGATGCACTTCACTTTTTATCTTTCAGCCCTTTTAAACCCCAAGGATAGATTTTCATGAATGAAATGCAGTTTCTTGTATCATCTGGTTGCTTCTGATTTATTTCTACATGAAGATGAGATAAAGACCATACAGATTTATCTCTAAACAAAATGCAAGTAGAAGTTGAAGTTACCATTTTATAAATGTTTCTATTCTTTCCTAGATCTCCACCACTGTTCTAGGGAAATACAATATTGGAATTAAAAAAGATTAATGCAATCTATTTACTCCATTTAAAGAGAAATGTAACTTGTTGACTTAGTGTTGTGCCCTTTGTCTACCTTCTAAAGCTAATTTTGTTAGCATGGCTTCATAGGAGTGATATCTGTTAGGACCTGTGCACAGAGAAGAGTTTCCTGTGACAGAAGTGTTTTTAAACTCGGTAGTTTCTGGTTTATTGCGGGGCTGAGGCCCTGCAAAAAGGTCGTCACCGCAGAGTTCACAAAGTTGTCATTCTCTCCACTTGACTCCATTTTGCTGTTAAAAGTTTGTTGGAAGTAACTGAAGTATGGATCAGTTCCAAAAATGGCATGTGTCTCTTCTCGTAACTGATAAACTGGAAAGCCATGAGGGAAAGGTAGAGACTTCTTATTAGACCAATGATCTCGAAGCCGTGAAGCAATATCTACTACCAATTTCCCAGAAAGTTGGGCTCCTGTGAGTTCAATAAAAACCTGACATTTTTCACGAGTGAGTCATTTGAGGAAATTTCTTGGCTGTTTTGGGAAGCACTAAGGTGTATAAGAAAGGGTTTGCTTTCCAGTAGAAGCTCTGTAGTGGAAGTGCTAGTGCTGTAATCTCCAAGGGCTTTTGTGCACAGCTGGACTTTCATGCCCATCAGCTTTATAAATCAGGTTGTTGCCAGGTTTGTTGTTGCC